TAGAAGGTTTGAAAACTCTATATCAAGTCGCGCCCAGTGGCAGGCTCTGTTCCAGACACTGAGGACATTGCAGTAACCACAACAGACACCGTCCTTGTCCTCATGGAGCTTCTATTCCAGGGAGAAGGGACAAACAGGAAACAGGTCAACAAAAAGCATAATGTCACACAGTGATTGTGCTGGGAAGAAAGTAAAATAAACTGGGGAGACGTGGCGAGAGTGGCAGGCGAGGGGCTCCTTTAGCTGGTTGGCCAGGGAAGAACTCTCTGAGGAGGCGACCTCTGAGCAAAGATCAGAATGACGAGCATAGCATCTGGCAGTGTGACATCCGGAGGAAAAACTTACCCCAGGGAGAGAGGCCTCGTGCAAAGGCCCTGAGGCAGAAATGGGGTTGGCCTGGTGTCGCTGGAGGAGACAGGAGCTAGGAGAGGATGGCAACCCACAGGGCGTGTGGGTCAGCGAGGCGGACTGGATGCCGGGTAAGGACGGCGGGAAAGCACGGGAGGATGGAAGTCTATGCGTGCTGCATCTGGAATTACGTTTATTTGTACATTATAGGGACTTCTTGGTTTACTGTGTCTCCCTCACTAGAATATAATGTGAAATCTCATTGAAAAATGTCAGCCACTAACAAAGTTTTTAAAAAATGACTGGAGGCTAAAACATCCGCTTCCCGGGTGACCCAGCAATCGTACTCCTGGCGTTTATCCCAGAGCCATGAAAACGGGTGTCCACCCAAAAACCTGCACACAGTTCTTCACAGCAGCTCTGTTTGTGACAGCCAAAACCCGGAAACAACCAGCACGTCCCTCAGCAGGTGGATGGTGGGACGTACTCAGCAAAGGTGGGCACCCGGTGGTGGCAAACGAAACACTTGGGTGGGTCTCAAGGGCTAACACTGTGCTGGGTGAGAAAAGCCCACCTCAGAGGTCACACACGGTATGCCTCTCTTCATACAACATTCTCAACATGATAAACTCCCAGAGACGGGGACTGATTGGTGGTTGCCGGGGGTCGGGGTTGGGGGAGGCGGCTTTGCTGTGATGAAGGGCATCACAAGCGAGGGCTCTGTGGTTCCAGAATGGTCCTGTGTCTTGGCTGCGGTGGTGGTGACCCCAACCTGCACGTGGGACAAACGGCACAGAAGTCTTCACACACGCTGTCCCAACGTCCGTCTCCTGGGCTTGCCATTGTGTTACAGTTACGCAAGATGGAACCACTGGGGGAAAGTGGGCCAAGCGACAAGGAGCCTTTCTGTACGACCTTCGAAACTTCCTGTGAATTTATAATTATTTCAAAATAGAAAGTAAAAATAAATGACTATGGGCCAAACAAACACGGTGGAGTTGGGGGAGGTTGGGTCCCTGAGCGGACAGTGCGCGAGCTCCGGCTTCGAGGAACAGGACCTTTCTTGACCCTCTGCCGATAGCACCTTGGTTGTATTGCCCTGGCTGCGAGGCCAGGTAACTAGGTCAGAGAGAAGGTGGACATGTCATCGTTGGCATCATAAAGAGCACACGGAAGGATTTTGTGTGTTGGTGTGTGTAGGCATGCTGTATTCATTTTCTATTGCGTTGTAATAAATTATCACAAACTTGGTGACTTCAAACAACACACATTTATTACCCCACAGTTTCCGTGGGTCAGGAGCCTGAGGACGGGTGGGCAGGCTCCTCTGCTCAGGCTCTCCCCTGGCTGAAGTCAAGGTGCCCACTGGCACTGGGCTCCAGGCCACTGGTTGCTGGTGGGATCCATCTCCTTGCGGTCGCGTCTGGGGTCCCTGGTTTTTCCTAACTGTTCACTGGGGACCACTCTCAGGTCCTAGAGGCCACCTCACGTCCTTGCCATGTGACCCATCCTCTCACTTCTTCAGGGCCACCAGGAGCGTCTCTTGGCTAGGAGGGCTCATAAAATACAATGTAATCACCGGAGCAGCTATGCCATCAGAGTCACAGCTCCCGTCCACCCTCCAGGGAGAGATTAGACAAGGCTGTGCGCCTCTGGGGTCATCTTAGAATTATGCCTACCACCCACGCCCAGGGATACGAAAAAGGCCTCGCAGACGATCATGCCCAGCATGAGTCGACTGTCCTCTCACGCTCCTTCATTAGTGTCACCATGAAGTCCCCCAAAACTTCGGGCTCCCTTCCTGCTGTTCACACCCTGGCGCAATTCCCTCCCCTGGAGTGACCCGGGGCAAGATGGTAGAGGTGATGGGATGTCCCTCTGGTGATGTCCTCGCATTATGTGAGACTCTGTGAGCGGGCTCGCTCTAGTGTCTCAATCTCCTCACTGGCTTTGGAGAAGCGCACGGTCGTGAGTCCTACGGCCACAGGAAATGAACTCTGCTAGCCCCCTGAGCGAGCCTCCTCTGATGAATAATCAGGTAGAGACAACCACAGTGATCCGGCACTTACGATTTGCCTGACAAGCGCTGTTTTTAAACCACAGAGTGTGGTATCAATACAATTTGAGTTTAAGCTACAACCGCAGAATTGAGCAGCTTTCTTAAGCTCTAGCTCCTAAATCTACATCGAATGCATTTTTGCATGAAAATATTGCATGAAGTGGGCTGATTGAGGAAACACTATTTTCTAGGCAAAACTGTGGTTTGCAAAGCTCTGTGTCAGGCTAGGCAAAGACTCAGGGAGGCTATTTTATACAAATTGCTAAATCCAAATGCACAGTAGACTTCGCTGTCCTTTATGTCCTTAGTCAACTTACTGTAAGGAATCCTAATGTTCTGCTCTTTCTTCGGATCCCCATCTTTGCTGCTAGGGACCTGAACAGAACTACAAAAAGATACGATTTATAGAATTTCATTTTTGCCTAGTAGACAGATTTGGGATGTTTGTGAAGATTACAGATGATTACAGCTGCTCCTAACGAACACTTTCCCTGGTTGGTAATATATAAACAAGATTCGTATAAACTAGGGGTGGGCCAACTTTTGGTTAGTAAATATTTTCAAAAACAAAACAAATCAAGTATTTTCAGCTTTGTGGGCCATATGGTTTCTGTGCAATAAGTCAGCTCCGTGCTTGAACACAAAAGCAGCCACAGACAATATATAAATGAATGGGTGTGGCTGCGTTCCAGTAAAATCTATGGACACTGAAATTTGAATGTCATGTACTTTTCATTCATATTATTCATCTTTTGATTTTTTCCAACCATTTAAAAATATAAAAACCAGGGGCTGGCCCCGTGGCCGAGTGGTTAAGTTCGCGCGCTCCGCTGCAGGCGGCCCAGTGTTTCGTTGGTTTGAATCCTGGGTGCGGACATTGCACTGCTCATCAAACCACGCTGAGGCAGCATCCCACATGCCACAACTAGAAGGACCCACAACGAAGAATATACAGCTATGTACTGGGGGGCTTTGGAGAGAAAAAGGAAAAAAAAAATCTTAAAAAAAAAATAAATGAAAATCATGCTTAGCTCACAGGCTGTACAAAAACAGGCAGCAGCTGGATTTGGCCCATGGGCCATAATTTGGTGACCCCTGGGCTTTTAGACTGTCTCCATTCTAATCTACCCCTATTGAGATCACAGGTTAAAACCCAGTTATTTTCTCCTTATCTGAGTTTCTTCAGAGCCTGCTGTGAGAATAACTCACACAGTCCCCTTTGCTGGAAAATACTCAGTAAGAGCACAGAAGGCAAAAAAAGAAATCTCAGCTCCTTCAATGTTTTCCCATCCTGAAAGTTGTAGTTACGAAAAAAAGCGTTCAGGGACCACTTTTCAAAGAAATTGACACTGACCAGAGGAGAAGAGGTGGGCCGCTCTTGTCTGAAGTCTAACCCCTGCATGCACGTGCGACGGATTCTGAAGATTTTGCTCAAATGATGGAATTACCTTGTGGCCGGGCAGGAAGCGGATGGAGATTCAGGTGCACGTTATCTTGGACTGAAGTGGAAATGAGGGAATTTCCATGGTCCCCCCCAGACCTGTACTCGCACGTCTATAAAAGTGTCACTCTGGCCTAGATCAGGGGTCAGTAAACTAATTTAACAGCCTCGAGTGAGTGTAGTTTCCATTAACCATACTAACATGCCAAAATTTCTACATATATATATACACACACACACACACATATTTTAAAGATTTGCACCTGAGCTAACATCTGTTGCCAACCATTTTTAAAATTTTAAAAAATTTTTCTTCTTCTCCCCAAAGCCTCCCAGTACATAGTGGTACACTCTAGTTGTGTGTCCTTCTGGTTGTGCTATGTGGGACGCCACCTCAGCGTGACCTGACGAGCAGTGCCATGTCCATGCCCAGGATCCGAACCGGTGAAACCCTGGGCCGCCGAAGCGGAGCACGTGAACTTAACCCCTCGGCCACCGGGCTGGCCCCCAAAATATCCATATATATTTTTAAAATTTTGTTTTTATTTTATTTTTTTATTGAGGTAACATCGGTTTATAAATAGAATATCCATATTTTAAATAAGTATTATAAAGAACAATATTATCCACTATTTTGGGAGTCCCTGGTTTGCTCATCTGTATTCAAATTACATTGAAAATATGAATCGATTCTCCATTTTTCTTAATCCAATTAGACCTATGCAACTGCTAATTTAGTATGAGGAAAAGTCAATACATGGAATCCATGAGATGGCATGAATAAGAAGACTTTTCTGGTGGTAAGAAAATCAAATGATCTAGAAGCCACCATACCCCTCACTCATACACACACACACACACAATTCTTCTAATTCAATCATTTTATCACTTTAAACCTATAATGAAAGTTGTCCTATGTTATAATAAATCATAAAGATAAAAATTGGTTCCATCTTTTGTACAAATAGGTACGATAAAGACAGCTACTATGACAAGGATATCAGCATCTTGTCTCAAATTTCCTAAGCTTATCCTACAAGGGCCATGACACTGTGGCCAAGAATATCACCCTATGCTACTATGTCACCGCTGATGCACTTCTCACCACCCACAGCCCTAGAGGAAGTGAGAAAGACAAAAACAAAACAACTGTTGTGGCTACTGGTCTCACATTTATTTTTTCAAGTTTATAAAAGAGAAAAAAAGGAAAAAAGGTCTCAAATTTGAGAATCTTTTTTCTTTGGAATAATTCTATTAGTTTGCATATGACTTGTCAACACTCAACTTTTTCTCTCCTACTTTGATGCACAAATCCATTTATTCGGACTCTTCTTCGCCCCATATTTCATATATCGTAATATTATGTTGTGGGTCTGCAGGCACCTCTGAGTTCTGAATCCTCAGGTTACCGCTAGTTGCCATGACGACTTTCATATTCTGCACCTTGGACACAAATTTCACAAGGTCCATCTCGAGCTGGGTTAAGGTATTGAATGCATAGTCTTTGCTGGGGGAAGCAATTTGATTTTTCTTTAGTGGAGAGCGAAATGAACAGCCTCGAAGGCCAGGAGGATTCTGCTCCTGTCAAGAAAGATATACAGGGTGAATAACAGTTTTGCTGGTTTTGACAGTTCCGAGACAGTTGGACTCGCCTAAGAGAAGATGGTTCTAGCATTGCTCTAGTCCGGGGATTGGCAAACTATGGCCAAATCTGGCCCACCCTCTGTTTTTGTCAATAAAGTTTTATTGGAACACATCCATGTGTATTCATTTGCATGTTGTCTATGGCTGCTTCCATGCTACAATGGCACAGCCGAGTAATTGCAACAGAGACAATGGGCTGAAAAGTTGAAAAAAAATCTACTATCTGGCCCTTTACAGAAAAGGTTTGCCAACCCCTGCCCTAGACAGTTTGGACACAGAATCATGACGTGTTGGGTCTGTTGAGAGAGGACATGCTGCCACGTTTCCCTCCCTTTCCTCTTCTGCGAGTTGTGTAGCCACCCTGTGGAAGAGCTGGTACCGCTTATACCTCTGTCCCGTTACGACAGATCTTTTTTACTTGGGATAATTAGACTATTTTCATTCAGTTGAGCAACTTGTAATGAGTCAAATGCTAGGGAAGTTCAAAATCGGGGCAGGGAACCTGGCTCTGTGAGTAATTTTGAGCTGAAAAACACCAAATTCTTGAATCTATCCTCAATTTGAAAAAACTCATTTAACAGGACAAATATCGAGCCACGGTTTTAGTCACCCAGTAAACAGACGGTGGTCTTCAACTGTTTGGGGTCCCAACCTCTGTGGGTTTGGGGACTACTGTCTTCCCCGAGGATGCGTCAGGAAGTGAACTTGCCAGTCATTCCCAGGACCACGAGGTGGAACTTTACACCCTAATTCGTTATACTTCACGGTCCTGCCCCTAACGACCAGAACACCCGTTTGTCTGAGCCTGGGATTTCTGAGATGGAATCAATGTGGTGTCAAAAACGCAGCCCTCCTTACCTTACTCTTCTCACCGTCTCCTCGAAACTTCAGTGTTGCATACAGCACAATAACAAAAATAAGCCAGAGCCATTTGCTCCCAAGCCAGCCTTGGGCATGCTCTGGCAGATTCTGCCTCATCCGGAAGTGCCCTCCGCAAGGCACCTTTCCCTGGGGTTCCTTGGCTCTGTCTCTCAGAGAAGAAAACATAAAGGCATAGCCGCAGGAGAGGCACAGAGGCAAGAACAAGAACCATTTCAGCATCCGCATGGTGAGCAGAGATGCGGGAGGGGGTCGCTCATGGTGGGTTTGTTTGCTCTCACACTGGAGACTGGGTACTTAGGGCTGGGCAGCTGGTGATGTCACAGAGGCCTGAGCCAGAAGCAGCTCTGGCCATTGTGATGCCTGCAGGCGAGAGGGTGATGAGGCTCAGGGTGCCACAGGGGGGCAGGACTTAAAGGGGGATGGAGAAATTTTCAGTGGGCGATTAAAAAGACAGGACAGGAACGAACGCCATCTCCCTGCCAGTGTATTCTTTCTGACCCTACCTCTACCGGGAGAGGCCATCATCTGTTTCTGGTTTTCGTTTGTTGAACCCACAGCAGACGTGGCATGTGCCCCTCTCTATAACCTCCACTAGCCTAACGTAGTTATGAGAGTCAAGTGGGAGAGAAAGATATTAAACCAGAGGCTACAAACTGGGAGCCACTGATGTTTATTTGGCCCACGTTGTTTCTAAAAATAATTATGTCTGTGCCAATATTTAAATGTTGAGGGGGACTTCACTTTCCTTTTTTTTTTTAAAGATTGGGACCTGAGCTGACAACTGTTGCCAATCTTCTTTTTTTTTTCCTGCTTTTTCTCCCCAGTACATAGTTGCATATTTTAGTTGTGGGTCCTTCTAGTTGTGGAGGGGGACTTCACTTAAAAAGCCCAGATTTCTGGCTTCCTTTGAAAGTATGGAAGATCCGATAACACTGGGCCACTCTCTGCCGGAGCCGAGTAGGAACTGCCCCTCCATGTAGCTGCGTTCTCTCCACAATCCCCACCACTCCCTATCACCTCACACTCACACTCACTGACCTTACCTGAGTGTGCAATCCCTGGGCTAATTAAGAGTATAATTTATTTAATTAAAATTGTGATAATAACAGAGTTTTAAAGGAACAGAACCCAAGGCTTTCCTGAGAGACATTTGGGGAGAGTTTGAGGTGTGGTCAGGAATTGGCTGGCTTAGATGGGGAGGGGGCTGACATCTAGATGTGCATGAAGACCCCGAGGAGAGAAAGCTGTATGACAGCCGAGGCCGATGCAGGAATATAACCAGGGCTCGCTGGCCAGTGTATTTGAAACCACCAGTTTCTAAAAATGACATGAAACACAAAAGTCCCCATTAACGGAACACAAGGCTCGTACTTGTTCTGCTGGGTCATCTGATTCCCAGACTTAGTCCCTAGGACCAAACCGTTCTGCCAGCTATAGTCAAGGGTCCACTGGGCCGCAGAGTGCTGAGCTGTGTGCAGCGCCGGCAGTTGTTAGTCTGTCTGAACGCACACGGGGAAGGCGGAGCGTGGGACTTGCTGCACAGACCGCTCCCGCACGTGCACAGCTCGCTGTGGGGGCATGGGTGCCCCTGCAGGAGACCGTCGGGGCAGGGCTGGCAAGAGAGGCAAGGCCAAAGCACCAAGAAGATAGGGACAGGGGCCGGCGAGTGGTTAAGTTCGAGCACTGTGCTTTGGCGGCCGGAGTTTTGTCGGTTCGGATCCTGGGCGCAGACCTAGCATGGCTCATCAGGCCACGCTGAGGCGGCGTCCTGTGTAGCTCAACTAGAAGGAGCCACACTACAATATACAACTATGTCCTGCGGGGCTGTGGGGAGAAGAAGAAGAAAAAGAAAGTAAGTACGGTTGTGACCAGACTTACCGTGGTGGTCACTTCACAATACAAACGAATACAGTGTTCTACATCAGCTACAGCTCAGTAAAAAAAGCTAAGAACAAGGAGAAAGAAAATAAGCAGTTAAATCAATCCATTCCCCTGGGGGCCAGTACGAAGAGCTGATGCCTCATTCCCGACACCAATGGCCACGGCTGGCAGGCGCACCCTGTGAGGCTCAGGGGCTCAGCCCTGAAATCTCGGCTGTCCCAGCCTCTCCCGATCGGCCTCATGGGGCTCCTGCGGGAGGGCCGTTCCAGTGGCTGAGTGACCACTGCGGAGTATGCGGTGCCCCAGGTCTGCATGGACCCTGCGTTTCAGTCGGCTGCCCTGAGCGTGCTCCTGTGGAAGGCTTCCCTCGCTTCGCTCACTTGGCAGGAATTTATGGGAGAACGGATCTGACATGTGAGCCGTGGGCACCTGTGCGAGTCGCCCAGCTGCTCTGAGCCTCAGCCATCTCACCTGTAAGACAGGACTGAAACCGAGAACCAATGGGCTGAATCGTCCCCGGGCCAGAAGACGAGAAAAAGTGTTTGAGATCAGCTTTGGTAACTGCAGCTGTGCCTACTCAGCATCACCAACTGTTGTTCAAAGCTAAGAGGTCTTTCTGTCCCTCCTTAGTGTATGAGTGAGCTGTTTCTCCCAGGAAGTCAAAGTCCAAAAGTCCAGACAAGAAGGAAGGTGAGGGGGCCAGCTGGTGGCATAGTGGTTAAGTTTGCATGCTCCACTTCGGTGGCCTGGGGTTTGTGGGTTCAGATTCTGGGCCCAGACTTACACACCATTCACCAAGCCATGCTGTGGAGGCGTCCCACATACAAAATAGAAGATTGGCACAGATGTTAGCTCAGGGCCAATCTTCCTCACCAACCCCCCCCCGCCCCCCCCAAAAAAGGAAGAAAGGTGATTCAGCCCCACAAGGCTAAACACAGGCTGAAGACAAAAACTAACCAGAAAAGTCCAGATGGTCAAGGGAGAAAAAGAGATTTAGTCTTTAGGATCAAACGCAGGCTGAAGATGCCAGCCAAGAAGGCTGCATACTCCCCCTCCCCCACCTAGAACCCCAGATAAAAAACCCCTACCTTTTTCCCTTCAGGGCGCCGGACTTGGGTTTTAACTCCCATCTCCTCGTCTGGCTGCCTTACAGTAATGAACCTCCTACCTTGTCACAAGCCTGACGTTTCGGTTAACTGGTCGTCCTGTGCATCAGGTAGCGGGCCTGTGTTTGTGTTCAGTGACAGCACGACAGTCCCCAGCTCCTTTCCTGGTGCTGCTGAGTCCCACGGGACGAAGCCCAAGGGCCTCACTCTTCATGTGGGCACTCTGAACAGTGCTGTCAGCCATGATGGCCTTGCTTTCCTGCCCTCTGTGCATCAGGTGTTAGGCCAGGGCAGGGGAACACAGGAAGCAGACACTGCTCTCCCCTCAAGCAGGGAGGTCTCTGAGGACACTACGCCTTGCTAAATATTAAAGGCTGGAGGGACTCTCCAAAGCCAGCCCTGCTCTCTGGGGTTGGAGGGTCCCTTAGCGGGGAAGCCTCCAGGGGAGTGCTGCTGAGTAGTTCAGAGACTGGAGGCAGGCAGAGGGATGGGTGGGGCACTGGCCTGAGATGAGCAGCGGGAAGTGGGCGGGCTGGGGGTGGGAGCATGGATGTCACCTTGAGGGGAAGCAGCGCTACTGAGATGCTGAGGACACTGTGACTGGGTCACAGGAAAAAACTGGACATGGTCAAAATCATCAACGTCAAATAAAACTGATTGATTAAGGCTAAAATTAGGAAAACTGAAGTTGGTAGAAATAATGACTACTAAAATAAGAAACACCACCTCATGATGGCTGAAGGTGTAATTAGTAACATTTGACTAAAAAGACTGACGAATCAAGTTTTCTCTGTAAAATTAAAATAGAAAACTCATTGAAATAAATAATTTTTCTTTTGAGGAAGATTAGCTCTGAGCTAACTGCTGCCAATCCTCCTCTTCCTGCCGAGGAAGACTGGCCCTGAGCTAACATCCGTGCCCATTTTCCTCTACTTTATATGTGGGACGCCTACCACAGCATGGCTTGCCAAGCGGTGCCATGTCTGCACCCGGGATCCGAACCGGCAAACCCCGGGCCGCCGAAGAGGAACGTGCGAACTTAGCCGATGCACCACGGGGCCGGCTCCTGAAATAAATAATTTTAACCAGATAAAAAAGGTACTAATTGTCATGAAAATAATTTAACAAAAGGAAAAAGGGAAAAAGCAACAAGTAGAAAATGGTTTAACTGGACTGTATAGAAAATTGATCAGGGAAAGAAAATGGCTAATCCAGGTTTGTTCTGGAAAGGTCCACAACAAAAATTCACTGATGTTAATGTAACTCTGATTAAATTGCTTCTATAGTCACAATTCAAAACGTCCTCCGGGCCCAACTTTCCATCACACTGAAGCTGCGCACACAGGGAGAGAGCAGGCCGGTTCCAACTCCCCAGCCCCCTGCCCAGAATCCTCCCTTCGAAACTTCCGAGGGGCCCACTGCTCATCCCACCCTCTGACCTTCCTCCCCTGCTCCTCTCCCCACTTTTGAATGGAAACCAGTGGCTCGGATCTGGGATAAAGCCCCAGGCAAGGGCCTCAGGAACACGGTCCTCTCCAGAATGCAGTGCGGAGACCCGGCTATTCCTGGTTCCCGACCAGCAGTCTCAGGGGGAAGCCTCACTAATTACCGGCTTCGGCACACTCGGCGGACAGATCAAACGCTCCAGGGTATGTCCAGTTCCCCTTTCCATCTCACGCTGAGAGAAAAGGTGGAATTCGTGTCACATGGATTACTGCTCTTGTCATCAATGCAATGGCTGCAATTTTCTTACCCAAACATTAGTGGAAGATAGAAGAAAAAATACACCAACAGATGAGAGAAAAAGCAGACTTTGAACCTGCTGTATTTTTTGTACCAAATTGTTAGGCACCCAACTAAACCTCCTCTGTCTTCAAAATGATCAACTAAGGAAAGCTCCCAAGCCCTGGGCTGCCGGGCCCGCTCCTCTCTGCTGCGGAAGCTCCCTCCAACAGCCCCGCAGGTGGGACGCATCTGCCGTTCGTCCTTTCTAAACTTCAGCCTCCCTCCGCCTGTTTAGTTTACTCTTGGCAGCAAAACCATTGGAATTTTAGTCAAAATGAGCCGACCACACATCCATGAGGAATCTGGAGTCTTTAATTATTTCAAACACAAAAAGTGCAGCCAACAGAGCTTTCCGGGCTGTGAGAAGAGGAGCAAATGCAGGCAAAGTGAGCACGAGCCTGCGGGAGAGGTGACGGGGCGGGTGCCCAGCACGGTCCCTCTGCGAGTCACCCCCCATCCCCCACAGCCAGCGTGACCACGCCAGCTCGGCGGACAACTTTCTAATGCCGTCAAACAGAGGCCCGGCACACAACACCCAGCACAGCCAGCGCCCACGCCACCCATCCACGTGGAGCCTGAGCCGCGCCTGCGTGGGCTTCAGAAGCAGTAGGACGTGTGGGTGACCCAGTGCGCCGACTCCTCCTTGGAGCGCTTGGCGGAGCTGTGAGTTGTGAACAGAGACTTATAAGCTTCAGATTCTTCGCTGTCGGCGATGGACCTTTTCATGGCTCCACACGGAGGCTTCCCGACTTTTCCAGAAGAGCTTCCGTTTGTTGCTGGAAAAATGAAAAGCCAAAAACTTTAAGGCTGGGGCTAAAGATCATTCCAAACACCACAATCTCAAAAGAGAAAAAAAGTCAGTCTGTCAATGCCAAGAACGTTCCTCCTGCCTTCTCGGGATCAGTGTTGAAACACCTCACCTCAATCACCAACTCCTAAACACAGACGAGGCTGCCACATGTGAAGCTACCGTTTCAAAATCACCCTGAGCGCCTGACATGTGCCGGCACTGGTCCTCGCTCTGTGCATGACGCACAGCAGGCCATCCTCACGAGGGGGCTGGTCCCTGCTCTGTGCATGACGCACAGCAGGCCATCCTCACGAGGGGGCTGGTCCCCGCTCTGTGCCTGGCGCACAGCAGGCCACCCTCACGAGGGGGCTGGTCCCCGCTCTGTGCCTGGCGCACAGCAGGCCACCCTCATGAGGGGGCTGCCATTCGCCCGTTTCACAGGATGGAAACGGAGGTCCCAGGAGGCCGAGGGATCCGCCCCAGGCCAGGCAGCTACTGTGCAGAGTGGGGACTGGAGCCCATTACCCACTGTGGACGCCACTTACAGCATAAGATTACACATTCTTCTACTGATGACTCTGTTTTCTTTTTGTGAAATAAATACAATTTTCTCTGAGTTAAAGGCAGTGAGTTTCGGGAGAAATGCACTGGATTCTGGGACTGTACGCCAAACGGGTCTTCGACACTTGGCCAAGAGGCAGGTGGAGAGAAGGCTGGCTCTTACTGTCACGTGGGATGCACAGAAAACCCCAGCCTTAAAGAGATCAGGAACATTCCTGCCCAATACCCCAAGCCTTCGTCCACCAAGCAGTCTCTGTGGCACATCTGGGCCCGGCCCTCAGTGCAGCCTCGCCGGCCTGGTGCCAAGTGCACACTCAACAGGAAAACCGACCACCAGCATTTGTGCCCAGACTCCTTCAGGCCTGACAGGCTCCTGCTTTGGGCCTAGTAACCGTTTCTTAGCTGCCCCCTGAGAGCTAAACAAACTATTTAAAGACATGACTCAGGACGAGCTTGAGTTTTCTCATTCACTCCAATAAAACCCTGACATGAGTGCCTGGGTCGCAGCTCTCTAAACAGGGCACTGTGCCTCAGCGGCACCCACCTGCACTTTTGGGAGCAGAGTTGGTCTTCTTCTCTCTGGAATCAAGGCCGGCTTCTTCAGGCTTCCCTGTCTTAATTTTTGATGTCCCTGGAGATTCTGTAAAAGTAACAAGAAAAACAAAAACAAAACAGAAGGATGAACTTGTGGGGACCTGGAATTGGCCACCCCAAGATATGTCTCTTTGGCATCAGGATTGTTTGAGGCTGATTGCTTTTGATAAACTGGGACAGGCAAGGAGGCTCTGAGGAATGGAACTTGCCCTTTGTTAGGACACGTTTACATTTGTAAGGTAAATCTCTATCTGTAAAGGTGCCTCCCTCTCTGTACCAGGAAGAAGAAAGGAGATGACCTACTCTCCAAAAACTCTTAATCAATACCAAAGGCAAGGACTTAAAATCTGCATTTTATTGTGCTAGTCTGGTAACCTCCTGCAACTGACTTCCCTCCCCCTCCCAACTTTGGCATTTCTTTAAGGATTAAGCATCTTTCCTTAGGCTAGGAACTGATTGCTGTGCTCACCTGTGACCGCCCAGCTCCAGACAATCGACTTGCCTCCGGCTACGCTCTCTGAGACAGCAGACCATTAAGTGCTGTGTCCATCAAGCACTGTGCCGACAGGGCAATCTTGTGACTATTGTGGGAGGGACATTTCAATCACATGTGAAACACCCCGTTTGGGGGTATATAACCACTATGTGCACCCCACTTCTTCGGTGCCCTTTCTTCCTTCGGGAAGAAAGGCCCCGGGCCATGGTTCCTCATAAAGCTTTGTTTAATTTTCTCTTGCTATTCTGTCTCATGTGAATTTAATTCGTTCTCCAGCCAGACGAACCCCCATTTGGGGAGAGGAAATGTCCTCCTCCCCTACAAACTTAACTTAGGAAATAGCCTTATGGCCTTATTTTGCTAAAATAAGGACCTCTTTTAGCATCTTACCTTCACTGACATCTGGCTTTGAGACAGACTCTGCCGCCTTGGGTTTCTTTGCTTTCTGTAAAAAGAAGGAGGAAGGTGGAGATGTGCCTGGATTCACTCTACTTCAGCGTCAGTGTGGCTGCCCACCCACTGTCCCAGGGGCCCCCTGACAGGTCGACGCAGCTCACACCAGACAGGGACTCACTCTGAAGAAGATGCTGACACTCCATTAATTCTAAACCTTGATTCTTTGCGTGCATCCTGTTATGCACTTTCGTCTCACAAAGAATATATCTGTAGAGATCAGCGTAGTTTTATATTTATATTCTTAAAATCACATTTTCAACAATTTTAAATGAAGATGACAGATTTCAGTGATAACATCAATGTTGGTGGCGACTACTATTCACAAAAGAGCAGTGAAATGAATAATAACCAAGCAAATACAGTACACAGAGTGCAGCAGAACAAACACACTCCGAAGTTTACACGCTCCAGTAAGACTTCTTCCAAGTGATCAAACTGCTTTGGCATTTGTTTGTTTAACTATAAGGCCTTGAGGCCTATATACTAAAGGGCACTTCAGCCATTTTCCTGAACTCTGGGTTATTCCTGTCAGATTTTTAGGCACTAGAATTATTTCACTAATAGTTATATTTGTCAGCCAAAATTTAAGAAATAAAGCTAACCATTCTAAAATCACACAGCTGTGTGGGAACTGATTCGATCACAGAGCAAACAGGACTACAGTATGCTCACTCAGAGAATTTTCTTTAAAAATGCCATTTTCCTAAGCACCCAGAAGGTGGCACTAAAGATGCCAGCCTAATTATTTCAGAAGACGCCCATCACTAGAAAACAAGGGAAAAACCTTCCTCTGGCAGTGTCCTTGAACTCGGAATATACACACACGCAGCTAGACTTGTAACACTGGTACAAAACATCAAAACTTCCCGTTCATTTCACACACACAAGGCGCGCGTCCTCGTCTGAGAGGGGACCACCTAGGCCTTCAGCAGAGACACCTGGGGCCTCTAAGCCCTCGGTGCAAGCTGAGCTCATCTGAAAAGCAGGGGCGCAGGGAGGCGGCAGGGAGGCGCCGCGTCCCGTCTCCAGCCGCGGCGTGTTGGGGAAATATTTTGGCGCCCTGGCAGCAGTGTCTACGCGGCACTCCCAGAAGCTCAGCTACGTGGTCTGCCCAGAGGGGCACGTCAGCCCCCTGGGCTTTGAACGACTTGGCAGGAAGCCTGGGACCTAGGCGACAACCACTGAAGGAAATGTTTACGGCCACACGAACACCTCCAGGAGCTTCCCGTAACACAATTTCTCCCTTTCGTGCTTTTTAAAAACTGGACTCGATTAGAGGCAGCAATGAAGAATAAGCAGGTCCTTCTTGGTAACTGTCCTTTGTCAAAATTCTGTCAAGCTTTTTACTTTCTTTTTTGCTCATATTGTAATGAAATCATAGTAATTTAGACAACCAACTTAGAATAAAGGCACTTAAATATATTCACTTTTAAACCTGAACTCTCCCCGTAAATGACTGAGTGGCTCTTGAAATATTTCTCAGGAATGTTGTGTTAACATCTTATAACACTGCTTCACAGAACACTTCTGGCTTTGACCACAAAGTCTGGGGACAATTCCTTGTACTACAGAACCATTTACAAGCATTATTTATTCTCTCCCTAAGTAAAAGGATAAAAGGAGACGCAAATGGATTTGGCTCCTTCTGAGAGTCCTGCATCCACAGATAACAACACTGCTGCCACGTCTCAACGCCAGCTTTTAGGCCTCAGGACCGTGCTTTATACACGATTCCAGGGAGACAGTCTCATCCTTTCCTCTATTATGACAAAAAAACTCTGAAGAATCTTTAGTTATCACATTACTGGTAAACGCAGGCCACAGAGAGGCAGGCTATTTTTTTTTCAATTTTATGTCCTCAGGATACCGAAATTAATTTTCTAATACGTCAAGCATTCTTTTGCCTTAGTTCTGATCACACAAAATTTCTCCCACGTTTACCTTGGACTTAACTTCTTTTCAAAGAATGAAAAATTTGCCTTTCACCAAAGACATGCATTACACAGCTATCGTCTGTAAATACTTAAGAAATAACAATTTACTGCTGGAGCCAGACTCGATGGCACACGGCACACTGAATGATTTCTTAGCTGATAAACCATTCTGAGCTTGCTCGGTAGGTCAGATCATTGAGCAATAATTCCACTGCTTATGGAATGTGACTCTAAACCTAGGGCCACGACACAAAGCCTTCACATCTGCCACCCACCCAGAGCTTCAGTCGCTGGCATCAGCGCGTCCCACTGGCCTCGCCTCTGGAAGCTGGGGCACCGCTCATAACCAGCTTCCCCGTGGGAGGGCTCAGGAAGGCCAGGGAAGCAGCTCCCACTCATGGGAACGCTTCGGGGTCCTTGCTACTCAAAGTACTTGGAGGGGTGGCCTTTGCACTCCCCAGGAGTGGAAGGGAAATGCAGGTTCCTGGGACCACTGAGGTCTCCAGGTGACTCCTGGAACATTCATCTGGGCAGCCTGTGCTCTGCAGATGTGCTGGGGTGACAGTGACTTTCCACTTCTTTAGAGTTATGAACACCACACACGTACTCTTAAAATCAGAGACACGCAGCAATGGTGGGGCTGCCCTTCCAGTGCGCTTGGCGGGCTGGGCTCCGCGCAGCCTTTACGGGCACGGTCTTTTTAAACCCTCCAGACGACACCTGTCCTGAGCAGCTGTCGTTACCACCCCCATTTCATGGTGAAGAGCCTGAGCACCAAAAAGCAGGACCCCACGCCCGTCAGAGTGAGCGTGCGGCTGAGCTGCAAGAGGAATCCTTCTAGAGCTCAGGCCCTTCTAGGTTGTAAAAACTGCCTCAACCACTGAGATTCCCGAAGCAGCCGCCAGCAACGCAGTTCACTGGTCCGCAACTGGCTCTCGAGCAGAGGAAGAGGCTGGGCTGACCCTGAGGACGTCTCTGTCCCTCGAGACTCCCGGAGGTGAGGGGCAGACACAAGGCCCCCATTACCTTGCCCAGCTTCGCTTTCAGCCTTCTTTCCTCCATCCTGCTCTTCAGCATGGCCACATCCTCCTTGGTGCCGTTGAGCACGATGACGTCGTCCTCCTGGAAGGCAGCCCCACACTGGAGAGGGCAAACAGAGAAGGCAGGCTCCGTCAGCACGCACAGGGCAGCCAGCCTGCACACCCTCACTCGAAGTCCAACTGCCGCTCTGCCAGCTCTCGGCAAATTCCTGTTGTTGAGCCGTGCTGGGGGAGTTAGCAGGCAGGCCCGACAGTGCTCTCTCTAGAAGGGCCTGCCTGCAAGACGGGTCCCAGCTGGCGTCTGGGAACTTGGATTTTGGGAGGATTCCCACCATTTCCTAACTGTGAGGGGCTTCTTTCCTTACAGGTCTCCCCACCAGCCCCGACCTCTAGGTGTACCGGAGCAAGGTCCCAGGCAAAGACCCTGGCTCGCGGCGGGCATCTAGGGAACGTTAGTTGAAGGAATTATTAAGAGTATTTCTTGAGCACACCTACTGCTGGTTCGTCTCGTGGTGACCGATGTAATAAGAGCCTGAGATATGCCACCCACTGCTGCGCCTGGGCCAGAAGGGGGCCACCTGCAGCCCTCACATTCCAGACAGAGCAGAGGTGTGCGGGCTTGACCTTGCATCAGGACCTCCTGGAGACCGCTGGGGCCCACCACCGCCAGTCATATATATATATATATATATATATATATATACACACAAACACACACACAATGGGATACTACTCAGCCATAAAAAAAGACAAAAATCGTCCCATTTGCAACAACATGGATGGACCTAGAGAGTATTATGTTAAGTAAAATAAGCCAGACAGAGAAAGACAAACCCCGTATGATTTCACTCACATGTGGAAGATAAACACATGGACAGAGAGAACGGTTCAGTGGTAATGAGGACGGGGGTGGGGGCTGGGCACAGGGGTGAAGGGGGGCACTTAGAGACGGACGGACAAGAAATAACGTACAACTCAAATTTCACAATGATGTAAACTACTAACTCAAAAAAAAAAAAAAGTTGCCCAAGCTTCCCAGCACCTCCCAACACAGAACAGCCATTGCTGGCTGACTCTCTCAGCTCCCGCCTTAGCTGGCTTATTTATCGTGGTTCTGTCTCCAAAACCTAGTGCTTCAGGTCAAAGCCAGCTCCTTTTCTAGGGCGAGTCTGGGAAATTTTCATGGCTGAAGAGACCTTCCTCTGACCCACAAATCCTGCGGTCAGTCCATAGAGACATTACAGGAATGAAAGGAGGGGCCTGATATGGCGTCCAGCCCGGGCTGCCTCTGGAGGAAGGAGCGTGTTTTTCACCGTCATTGCAGGGGGGCCCACGGGCGGAGGAACGGCCTGCTCTGCAGGAGGCGGACCCGCGGAAGTCTCACACTGCGGGAGACGTGGGTAGAGCCTTCCCCTGGGGGGTCTCCTCCTTGGAGAGGGAATGAAAAGGGATGCGCAGGAACAGAGTCAGGTGGCAGATAAGGCCCAGTGGGGCTTGGGACTGGGGCTATGGCGTAAATAACTCTCCTGAGTCCAGCACTGAGAGGTAGAGAGGAGTCGCGTTTGTTCCCGTTTGTCCCCCCAGCCCCGCACGCTCCTCCTTCAGCACTCCGGGCTTTCTTCAGCTTCCTTCCACCGCTCCTTGCTGCCCCTCTTTCCCACCATGCTCAGCAGTCTCCGTCCCCTACATATGATTGTTGGTTGTCTAGATATGACTGTGGACCCCGTTCTGCACAGACTTGTGGTGTGTTGTGCCCAGGGTTCTATTTTTAAAGTTGAATTAGCCACTAACAATAAAAAGCTGAGACCCTCTTACATTAAAACTCGAGGTATCTTGAGCCAGCCCTGATGGCCTAGCGGTTAAAGTTCTGTGCACGCCACTTCAGTGGCCCAGGTTTGGTTCCCGGGCGCGGAACCACATCACTCATCTGTCAGTAGCCATGTGGCGATGGCTCACATAGAAGAACCAGAAGAACTTACAATTATACACAACTATGTACTGGAGCTTGGGGGCCAGGGGAAAGGAGGAAGATTGGCAACAGATGTTAGCTTGGGGCAAATCTGTCCCTGGAAAAAACAAAAAGAAACTTGAGATATCTTGCTCTCTCTCTCTAAAATTCAAAAGATCCCTTAGTAGCAAACCCATTCTCTCAAGGCCTCAACTGCTTGGACCTGAGCTGGGCTGCCCCCTGGAGACTGGGTGCACGCCCCTCCTGCTGGTCACAGGCCCTGTTACTCATCTTTGGTACACACCTGACTTGGGTGGAACTCGGGTGGAGTGGCCCATCCCTGGAGGACAAGTGAAACCAGGGCAGGAAGCAGGCTTGTCGCAATGCCAGCTGCCAGGCTGGGGCTCTTCTCCGTGGAAGGTGACTTCAGAAAGGGAGGGCAGGGCTGCTGCAAAGGCACAGCTTGCCCAGAGACTGAGCTCGCTCTCTCTGATTATAACAGTACCACATACACAAAGTCAAAACCACTCACCCTTTCCTGCGAACGCACTTTCTATGTAAACTATTAGTGCACCACTGAAATCACATTTATTTTAAATTTTGCTTCCTTTTATCATTTGTAACTTAGATGTCCAAAAAATGGGGGAAATGATTAAACAGATGATACTATGTTCCTAAAAAGGAAAGGTATACAGTTATTTTAGAGTCTTTGACAATGTGGAAAAAGCTTATCACATGTTAAAAGGAAAAGCAGACTAGTAATTTTATATTTATATGACCTCTGGATGTTAATTTTTTAAAAATATGGCCAGTAGGAAAGTGCTGAGGGAAGAGTGGTAGGACTAGGAATAATACGCCACTGTATCTGCATGTTTATATCATGAACAAATGGGATGGCGGTTTCTCAGTCTTCGTTCTTACAAACACATGCAGTGAGCAAGCACCTGCAGGCCCCTCTGACCGCACTCCTGACACCCGGCTCTGCTCCGTCACAGAACCTTGCCTGTTTCCTGTGCGGCACTTCACGGCCTGCATGTCATCACTGACTGCCCCTCTGTCACAGTGGAGGCTCCGGCAGGGGATCTGGTCTCTGTCTGTCGTGGCTGGAGCCCAGTGTTAAGCCAAGGTCCTACACACAGCGGACATTCAGTAAACAACGCCGAATAAATGAATGAGAATACAACCTAAAGAAATATTTCAAACCAGGATGAAAGGGAGTGAAATTTTAAAGCCAAAGAGTTCCCCTAAAATGGTCACAGGAACATTACACTCACTCTAACATGCGAGAGTGCCCATTATACTGCATCACCTGAGAGGAAACAGTACACCAAATGGAAAGGCAAAAGAAGATACTCCTTTTAGGCTTTAAGAAACATAAACCCTACTGCACTCACAGGGCCTCTCTTCTAAATTACATGTATACACCATATGTCCATTTTATTTGTTAGGGTTTTCACTGTTAAAAATCTTAATCAATCTGCATAGGCAGTGGATATATTGAGCCCATTAAGCCTTTGGCCATCTATTACAACGGTTCTCCCAGTATGTCTGGTTGTTATTCTGTGTTCTCCTGTGAGCTCCGGAAGTATAAAACTATGTAGGCATCTCTCTCGATACTTTCTCAGTTGTTTCTTCCTCTGCTTTTGGCTTGGAGAATCTTCCTCCTTCCAGGTTAAGGCTGCGAGGGAACAGGTGAAATCCAGCACCAGTCCTGACCCCTTCGGGACGGGCCATTACACACGGACCTGCTGGTCCAGGCCAGCAGGACACGCAGGATGGTCTTTAAAGCAAGCACTCAGAGGAAAGGGTCACAGTTGCAGCAAGACTCCACAGCTGCACGGTGGCCTTTCCATACAGAAAAAGACCTTCCTTTCCTAATTCTTGCTAGCTAAAATTAGTCCCTCAACTCAGGGTCTCTGAGTATCTCCATACAAACATACGCAGGGTCTCAGCACTGGAAGGTCGCACAAATCTGTTTCTATATAAGCAGCACAGACATCACACACAGCAATGCTGCAGCCCCTAAGCAGCAAGAGACTCGGTTCTATCTGCCAAGGAAGGAATCTTTCTATGGCAACAGCAACAACTGTTCTGCAAAAGAGCAACAGATAGCTTGAATCACCCATGAGCAGGTGAAGAAAATCCGTACTCATCTGACTACGTACCCTGCTCAGGTGTCTGGACATATACGCAAGGATGGTAAGTCTCTATGTGTGTGACTCCCGGCTCCCGGCTTCACTCTTCCCACTAGAGCTGTCTGTGGTAAGCCTAAGGAGAGGACGAGCAAGGGAGAGGACCTCTGAAAGCAGAAGAAGGAAGGAGGTTAAGAGTACAAGCACCCAGTGGTAGAGAAGAAGGAAAGGGCAGAGCTGCAACCGTGGGACAGACTCCACCTCCACAACAAGCTATGGCACAGACTGGCCCCCGAGGGCGACAGAGGACAGAGGCAGGGCACAGGCTGCATCCCTGAGATCAGGTCCTCTGGAGAGCCAGGAAGGACACTCGCGTTTTTCGAAATGCTACTTAGGAAGCAAACAAGATTCTTAAATGACTTTTATTTATCCCTCTGATGAAAAAGGATCAGAAAACCCAATCTGGCCTCCTATGTTTAAAAGCATTTAAAGAATGTAACCCACGACTGCCAGGATTTCACCCAGCTTTCCGAATACAAGAACTACTGTGTTCTGCCTGTCATCTGGGCCAAGTGTTTTCTGCAGTCGTCTTGTTTCGTTGTGTAAGGAGTGATTCAGTCCTGAAGAAATACTCAGAAAAGCAAAAGCCACAAGTAGTTTTCAATCTACATGCCAGAATCAACAAGAATAAAATCCTCCAGGGATGAAAGGGTAACAAAACCTGCCAAGCAACTCTGTCCACGTGATGTAAGCCGGAGCCACCATGAGACAAGCCGCTGACGGAAGCAGAGCACCACCGGGCAGGGATGCAGCCTGGACTCCCACCCGAGGAAGATGAGGCGCGGCTTTCGGTGAGTGCTTCGTTAGCCACACAGGGCTCAGGAAGGGCACGGCTGAGCAGGTGTTATTATTAAAGTAAAATATGTTTTCCTTTGCCTCCTGTATGGTTTTAAAATAGAAATATTGGCATATCAGTAATATTGTAAAATGCAGATGTAGCAGGCATCTTTTTCTCTCAAA